GATGGATTATGTTCTTAGTAGGGTGGTTTTATATTTTGAAGACCCAACGGATGGCTGGGAAGGATTGTCTTTCTTATTTGGGCCTTCGTGATGGATGTCAGTGGAGAAACTCCTACCATTGATTCAGTTCCGGTGGTGAGGGACTTTTCGGATGTGTTTCTTGTGGTCGGGCATGTCGCCGGACAAGGTTGTTGACTTCAATATTGATTTAGTGCCGGGCACCGTATCATATGGCACCGACAGAGTTAAAGGAGTTGAAAGAGCAGCTTCAGGGTTTCCTTGATAAGGGGTTCGTTGGCAGGCCAATATGCATGTGTGTTCTAACTTGAGTCAGTTTGGTTGTCTCCTAGTTGTGTTGTTGAGGGATGTGTTGATTCGATTGTTATTGAGCTTATTAGTAATCTGGGGAGATCTATGAGTTACCTTTCCGTGTTGCGGGGCATTGGGATTTGTTGGTTATAGGCACATGTGGTGCGGTGTTATTGGGGTCTCTTAGTGGAATTCGAGCGGGAGGAGTATTGGGTATTGCTCGGCGGATGACGCATCAATTGTGTCCTTTCGGGTTGTGTGATGTTATGTCAATTGCTTCGCCATGATTATGATAATTTACTTTGGTTCTGGACAACAAATTGCGCGTGGTTGTCGATTTTGAGCGTAGTGACTTGAGGTGTTTCATGTGGAGCAGTGTTTGGATAGGGTCGCGCATTGTAGTGAGGTTATGGGGAGGTATGACCCTTCGGGTTAGATTCGTATGTTCTGTTTCTACGATGTGTGACGAGTTCTCAGCATTGTGTGTGGTGGTACTGGTGAGCTGGCGGTACAACTCTCTCTTTTGAGTCATTTTTCGTGATTTAAGGACGCTCAGATTGTTGCTTGTTGGTGTGCGGGTTGCACGAGTTATGGCTTTAGATTGCATTGATGTGTCATGTCAGTAGAGTAGTTGTGTTGGATTAGATGAGATCGTCGGGATCTAAAATGAATACGAACGGATTCGATTTCAGCATGTTGGAAGGATAATATCGAGGTTCGGCTCAGAAATTTGCTATGGTCCTTGCCAAAGGAGAAGTGGCTTCACGAATGGTTGATCTGAGGAATGGGTAGGACTTTCTACGTGTTTCATTTATCATTGGCAGTATATGAAAGTGTTGGAATGGGACTTCAGTTGATAAGAGGTTTACTATCGGTATTCAGTTGTTGTGTGCAGCTGCTGTGATTAGAAGCTATCGCTACAAGAGTTTGAGTTATGTGGTATATCATGTAATTGTACCTAAGGTTGCAGGTATGGGTTATTATAGTTTGTTCGGGCTTATTCAGAGTATAGATGTGAGATTCTGATCTTGTGGATGATTTCAGAAGTGGGAATGTGGTTCTAAGGTTTATGGGCTAGGTTGGATTGTGAAATTTCAGTTACATTGTGTTATCGGACCTATATGAGATAGGGTGACGTGGGATCACCCCCGGGTATGTGCATGGTAAGGTTATTCAGCGATTGGTTGGCTTTTGGAACAACTCTGGGCACGTTCGAGGACGAACGTATGTTTAAGTGAGGGAGGATGTAACGACCCGACCGGTCGTTTTGAGCTTTTGCACTTTGCTCGCCAGTTATCGGGCATGGCTAGCCCCGTGTGATGTATTATGACTTATGTAAATCGTCGGTTTTGGTTTTTAGGGTAATCAGAATGAATTTGGAGGAACAGTTCTCAGTTTGAAGCTTAAAATTTGAAAGGTTTGACTTGTTAGTATATGATCTCAGATTGGAATTTTTATGATTTGGTTAGCTCCGTTAGGTGATTTGGGACTTAGGAGCATGCTCAGAATGTATTTTGGAGGTTCAGAGTGGATTTAGGCTTGAATTAGAATTTTGGCATTTTCCGGTTGATAGGTGAGATTTTGATATAGAGGTCGGAATGGAATTCCGGAAGTTGAAGTAGGTCCGTTGTGTCATTTGTGACGTGTGTGCAAAATTTTAGGTCATTCGGACGAGGTTTGGTAGACTTTTTGATCGAAAGCGAAATTTGGAAGTTCTTGGAATTCATAGGCTTGAATCCGATGTGATTTTGGTGTTTTGATGTTGTTTTGAGCGTTCCGAAGGTTGGAACAAATTTGAATGAGGTTATGGGATATGTTGACATGTTTAGTTAAGGTACCGAGGGCCTCGGGTGAGTTTCGGGTGGTTAGCCGGATCGTTTCATGTTGGTGGAGATTGCAGAATCTCTGCTGTTGGTGTTGCAGGTTTTTGACCTTCGCGTTCGCGATGCATGTCCCGCGTTTGCGAAGGGTTAGGGTGTGAAGCTGTGGAGTTAGCCTTCGCGAACGCGAAGGGCTGAGGTCAATGACCACCGCGTTCGCGAGGCTTATGCCGCATTCGCGTAGAGGAAGAGGAATAGCTGGGTCCCCCGGGCGATTGTTCTACGCGTTCGCGTTTGCGAAGTGTTGAGTCTGTTGTGCATCGCGTTCGCGTAGAAGGAATTCCGGTCAGTGAAGTTGTGTTCTTCGCGAACGCGAGGGAGATGCCGCGTTCGCGATGAAGGAAAATCTGGCAAACAGTTTATATTTAAAAATCGAGGGTTTAAGTCCAATATCATAAAAGCCATTAGAGAGCTCGGGAGAAGGTGAAATTTGAGGGGATTTTTAGTGGAGCAATTGGGGTAAGTATTCTTCACTCATATTTGGTTTAATTCAATGATTTACTCTTGAATTTCGTCATTTAATTTGAGAAATTAGAGTGAAAATTAGGAGAAGAATGGAAGAAAAGTTTGAGAATTCTTTTGGGGATTTGAATGGGCAATTGAGGTCGGATTTTGATGAATTTGATATGGGTAGACTAGTGAGAGGATGAGGATTCTATTGATGTAATTTTTATCGGATTCCGAGACGTGGGCCGGGGGTCGGGTTTGAGCAATTTCGGGATTTTTGATGTAAACTGGATATTTTCGAGTGAGCTTTGTTCCCTTAGCATATTTTAATGGTTATGTACTGATTGTGGTTAGATTTGGAGCATCCGGAGGTCGATTCGAGAGGGCAAAGACATCGCGGACTAGAGTTTGGACCGGATCGAGGTTAGTAATGATTGTAAATGTTGTCCTGAGGGTATGAAATCCCGGATTTCACATTGTTGTTCTATATTGAGGTGACACACACGCTAGATGACGAGCGTGGGGTCGTGCACCGTTGGGGATTGTGACTTATTCCATCCCGAACGACTGTTTTACCGTGTATTTGATTGAAAACTGTTTGCTATCATCATGTTTTGGGTTAAATGTCATATTTGGGCCTCGTGCCAACTATTTGGACCCTTATGGTATTTTTACTGCTATTTCCTCACTGTTTTGATTTTATATCTGTACTCAGTCATGCTATATTATACTGTTTTCATAACTCAGCCATGTTTACTCTGTTTTACTCCCTCTGTTTCTTATTAAATTAGGTACTTTCCTTTTTAGTCTGTTCCAAAACAAATGACACATTTCTAAATTTGGAAATAATTCAACTTTAAACTCTTTCATTTTACCCATTTAACCTTAATGAGAAATTTTTATAGCTACACAAATGTCATGGCCCCACAAACTTTTTATCCCTTAAGCTTTTAAGACCACAAGTTTCAAAAGTCTTTTTCTTTTTTCTTATACTCCGTGATGAGTCAAACTACCGCATATAATATGAAACGGAGGGAGTAATACTTTAAATGATATTTTGGGCTGAGCATCATATTTTACTGTTCCCGAGTGATTTTTAGAAATTTTTGACTGAGTAAGGCCGAGGGCCTGTGTTGTGAGGATACTTTTGGGTTGGGCTGCACGCCGCAGCGATGATACACTGATTTATGATTATGAGGCTGAGGGCCTGAGATTGTACGCCACGAGGTGGCTTGTTGATATGAGGCCGAGAGCCTATTGATTATGCCACGAGATGGCTTGATATTGCGCTTGAGCCGTAAGGGGCCCCTCTCGGAGTCTGTACACCTCCAGTGAGCGCGGGTACCCATTGTGATATGAGATATAACCCGAGGGGCTGGTGTTGTTCCATGATATTGCCCAAGGGGCGAATTCTGTTGACATTGTGCCCGAGGGACGAATTTTATGTGTTTATCTGCTCTAGCTGCTTTCCATTTAATTGTTTAATTGTCAAAAGGTGTTTTAAAGAAATTTACTCTGAACTAAGGTGTCTTAATATGTTTCACAGTCTCGTTGCTTTTACTGGTTTTATATTGCTACTTTATAGCATGTTGATGTGCTTTTATGTGAATTCTTATCGCTCAGTCTTCATTTATTGTTATTACTCACTGAGTCGGAGTACTCACATTACTCCCTGCACCTTGTGTGTAGATTCAGGTATTTCTGAACCCAGTAGCGGGTGTTGGTTGCTCAAAGGCAGAGTCATCAGAGTTTAGCAAGGTAGCTGCCCGACGTTCGCAGCAATGCTGTTCTCCCTCTTGATTTCATTAGACTGTATTTAACACATTTTTCAANGGGAGATGAGGAGAAAAACTCGCATTGCTTACTAACAAATGAAGGATAGGGTACATTTTTGAAAAAATATAATACCTATTTTGCGAAATCAAACATAATTTTATTTAATTCATTCCTGTGATCACCTGTCATCACCTGCCAGTGTGCGTTTGCTCATATTGCCGGTACCAAACCTGCATAAAAGAAAAGGGTTACAGTACACTTGCAACCAGCATAAAACTAGCCAATTCATGATAACAGGAGATGAATTTTAAGAGGAACATGGTTACTGAAGATACATGCAATAGGCCCCAACATGTTTGCGACTGAAGCATAATTGTGGTGTTCTCGTAATTACACCTTCCTTTAAATATGACAAAAATTCTCCTACTCTTCCCATGGCAACTTAAGCCAGAGATCTGACCTCATGGTTGAAGGACAAGGGTCAGTTCCACTTAGGCTATCCCTCCCTTTGTCCTCGATTATGAGGCGAGCAGTAACATGAAGGTCAAAAAGAAGATAAGAATGCATAAATTCCCCAGCATTCCCTCGTTATCCTAATGCAACTTTGTATTCCCAATTGCCTACTGTACTAAAGTAGCGGGAGACAGGAAAAATGGTTTGGAGGTTGATATCCTACAACCTCCAGTGCAAAAAAGTAAGAAAGTCTTTTAACATGGAAAATTAATTAATGCTTTTTCATTGAGAATGAAACAGGTTTAGGGTACACTAAGGGACAGTTGAATTAACAAAACTTCTGAATATGCTTCTCGGTTAAAGTTCCTGCATGCGGTAATAGTGAGACAATACTCTAATTCCGACCTGCAACCAAGTAAAACCAAAACAAATCACACAAACTATGCCAGGGCCCCTTGAAAAACATCTAGTACTTCTGAAAGCAAAAGAAAAGGAAATAAGACTGTGTAGAAGCAGTTAATATACCTTGTAAATTCAGCATTTTCCACGGCAATCCAATGTGCTTCAGATTCGATTGACTTCTATAGAAGAAAATTATCTATCATATGTTGTATAACATCAGCACCTTCTGCATGCATATATTGATCTTTCACCTATAAGCAATACGGCAAGCATTACACAATATTGATCTTTCACCTTTAAGCAACACAGCGAGCATTATATATTAACTTCATAAGCACGAAGATCTGAAAAGCCTTAATTACTGTACAATATACTCTTTTAGTGTGCAATTTCAATGGCAAAACAATAGGGCCTAATTTTGAGACAGCACATAAAATCTGAGGGACATAAAAACGTTTTGAAGTCTGAAGCTCTATCTGGAACACTAGAAGCATGGAATATAAGCTCCCAAAATGTATTAGGAAATTTAAAATGTTGAGCAATACAACTGATCCAAAGATCCTTGTTCACTAACACCTATATTCATGCTCCAAATGCCTTTTTTTAAACCTTTATTGCCATTTAGTTACAGGATTTATGAAGTGAATGACACGTTCAACCCCATGATAAGCAACATAGATGACTTGATATCAGCCTTACTTACGAAAGCCAGATTCAGTCACCAATTAAAATCAGACGCCAAAAATATATAAGTAGTACTGTGTTAGTGCCTTTAGCATAGCTGGTTTAAACTTCTGCAGATATGAACCACTCGTAACTTGCAGAAGAAACGCTCCTCCAAGGATGTCAAAATTTTACAGAAGCTTTTCCCACCACGACCACTCTTCATCAATAAATTACCCATAAAAACCTAATAACTCAGCAATCTGTGCACAAATACCTTGACGCTGTATAGCCTACTGGGCATAAAAGTAGCCGACTTTGAAGATTTAAAAGGGCTTGAAAATTCATTACTAAGTTTTCCTATCACCATCAGTCTCCAAGCCTAAAATATACCCTAGTACAAACATATTTACTCAGAAATTAGCGCACAAATGCTCTTGAAGCTATGTAGTCACAACAAAACATAAAAGTAGCCAATTTCTGAAGATGTACACCTTTACAGGTTCTACAACTCAACTCTAATCAATGTTACATGGTAAACAACAAGACAAATAACACATTAACAAAAGCTCAGCTCTCATCGACATTATAAGGTGGACAAAAGTGTTTCCTACCAAGATAAGAACAATTAAACTTTTACTAAATGGGGTGAAAAACGTGGCAACATTTTGGCAAAACCCTGATGCTTTCAATCCGTTTAAGCGAATAAGGCATTATATTGCAGGACTTGTGTGTTTGGTTTTGTATATGTGACCACTGGAAGGATCCCCCTGATTTGGATTTTCACATATAGGGAGAAAGTAAAACAGCACAATATCCATGTCAAATACAGTGCACAAAATGGCTTTAGTCAAGCACATGATAGAAATCTAGTCCAAGTAATTTTCATTTTTAAACACCACAGACACGCCCTCTCCTCAAACCTATATTCTTTTTCTTTCTTTCATTTACTTTTTTTAATATATGCATCCCAGAGAATAAAAGATGGAAAAGGAATAGGAGTTCCAAGTGTAAATTTTGCAGGTAAACATGCAGTTTCTCACAAAATAAACCTAAAGAATATGCCTGGTTTAAGTAGGATAACTAGTAAATGCTTTTGCTAATTACTCCCTCCGGCCCAATTTATGTGATGCACTTTCCTTTTTTAGTCTTTCCCAAATTGAATGATACCTTTCTATATTTGGTAAGGATAAAATTTTAGACTTTACACTTTACCGTTATTGAGATGATTAATAGTCACACAAATATCTACGGCTTGTTTTAGCCCACAAGTTTCAAAAGTCTTTTTTTCTTTCTTAAACTCCATGCCTAGACAAACTGCATCACATAAAGTGAGACGGAGGGTGTAATACTCAAGGTAACAAGTAAAGGTAACACGACATCCAGGACAAAAACAAGAGTTATTGACAGCTTTTTATCTTAAAGGTGTAAGTGATAAAATAAACACACAATTCTGATACATCGATATAAATAAAATGTAACCGACTGTGGTTCTTGGAGAACCAAAAAAATACTCCTTGTCTCAATTTATGTGGCACCATTCGGATTTCGAGAGTCAAACCTTTTAATTTTGACTGTGAGCTTGGACATGGAATAAAATTTACATATTTGGAAACTACATAAAATGTACTATAAGTCACAATAATTAACAATTCAAAATATTTAAAAGCTTACGAAAAATCGGCAATCAAAGAAAACTCATTTGACTCTCAAATTATGAACGGTGTCACATAAATTGGGATGGAGGGAGCATCAGAAAATGCTCTGTGCATTAACGCTATCGTCTATGTTATATATATGTGATCCATATATATATATAGAGTCCAGAGAGAGAGAGATAGACTATGGGGAGTACAGAAAGAGTGAGACCTGAATAACACTGTGTGCAGCAAATCTGAGCCTACTGCTGTGAAAGCTGACATCTACTTTCTCCCAAGACACCCGAGACAAACCAGTCACCAATTCCTCTGGATAATTTGTCAAAGCATTAGCACTATAATATTTTCTTGATAAGTTAGCAAGCAAGAATTAGTATATAATATTAAGAAGCCAAGATATAAAACATCCTTTTCATTTCCTTTTCCTTTTTCAAGATGGTATTATCAACATATAATTCAAAAGGCGTTAAACTCAAATCAGAAACACGAAAATTCAGTTGCATTTAAGAACAACTACAATTGGAAAAGAACAAATAATTCAACTAAGTACTTCCTATCTGAAAAAGATCGGATGGCCAAAGACTACACTGATTTACAAACAAGGTTGCATAGTACTTTAGGATCAATGGAGTCATTCTTTGTATTGGTGCTAAGCACTAGATAACAGAAAGAATGAAAATTAATCATGCATACATTTTTGAACATATAGCATCACCAAAAGCTCAGCGAAAAAGCATTAACAGGAGACAATTTACCTAAAGTCAACTTCTTGCCATAAGCTAGGGGGAAGCAAGAATCAGAGGAAAGAACCTAACAGGAGACAATTTACCTAAAGTCAACTTCTTGCCATAAGCTAGGGGGAAGCAAGAATCAGAGGAAAGAACCTAACAGGAGACAATTTACCTAAAGTCAACTTCTTGCCATAAGCTAGGGGGAAGCAAGAATCAGAGGAAAGAACCTAACAGGAGACAATTTACCTAAAGTCAACTTCTTGCCATAAGCAGAGAGTTACTAACCTTCTAGCTTGTCAAAACAATCATCTTCCTTTACAACAGATTCACTCTGCTCACTATCGCACGTCTTGCAATGTTCTTCATACACAATGTGAGGATACTTTTCATTTAAGGAGTCCTCCCACTGTAAGCACGTACTGTTATGACAGCACATGAGATTTAATAGGTTATTACTATCAGATATTAGCTATTGTACCTTGGGCAGTTCAGTATTACGTCTAATTGATGACGTTCTCCAACCTACAATATCTATAATAAAGTTTGTTAAAGAAAAAGTAGTCTTTAATGAAGTTTGGATATCAGAGGCCGGTTGCCTGATTCAAGTTCAACAGTACAAACAGGATACGATCATAACCAACATTTGAATATGCGACCCTTCGCTTGAATGAACCCAAAGCAGACCTGCATGTAAGAGTTTTGCAACAAATTAGCATCAAATACTACAGTTTTTACCACAGACCCTCATGAATGATAGGACTACACTGTCTAATGAACGTAGTAAATAAATCTTAGAACTTACATAAAGTGTAATTCACCATCATCTTCCACCATCCGTCTCAGTAATGGAGTCTTTCCTTCATCTTCATTAAGAAAAAGGTGCCGACCAGTTCTCTTGAATATCCAATGAACAACAAGACCGGCAGCTCTCTCAAAGGCAGTTACACCAAAAAGAAATGGCACCTGACAATTAGCAAATAAAATAAAAATTGCCAAAAAACCAACAGTGGTATAGTAGATCTTGTAAGGTAGGGAGCAAACTCACAATCTTAATAATGCAAAAACGGACTTGAGGAAAAGAGGAATACTTGCTCATACCTAAAGATCTAGATGACAGAAGAAACACGGAAATTTTTTTTGCCTCTTGATCCTTCTGTCAGATGACAGAACATTTTCCTTTTCACAGGCCACAAGATTAAGCAGGGATCAATATCTACCACCCGCTACTAAAGAGGATATCTCCAGAATACTGATTATAAGCAAGACCAGCAGATAATTGAGTATGATTAAAAACCGTAACTGACTACATCATTCTAAAAGCCGCTGTGCCATGCAGAAGAATGTAGTTTACAAGTAATTTCTACGTTAATCAGCAAGTTTGCTTTCCTTTACATTTCAGGAACTTTGAGGTTCTCATATCAAAAGAAGGAATCACAGTCAAACACAGGAAGACCCTGATGCAACTTCGAGGTTACTAAAGATAAGGCTTGTTAGATAAGTTAAAAAAAATCTCCCCGTGGTTGCATTCCTTGGATAACTTATCAAGTTGGAGGGAGACAACACTGTCTGGAAAGGGGAATACTTACTGTTATTTTTTCGGTTCATGCAGCTGTAGAACTTCACATCTTGAAGTAAGTCTTTCCAGGTCCTTTCTGATGTGGATTATTTTTTCTGACAAATTAGATGTATCTTTCCTTCTTCTTTTTTTCCCTAGGTGGAGTACATTCCTTGCTTCTCCATCTTACTTTACCATCTTATGTTAATAGTAGTAGCGCTGTTTTTTTTCTTTGTCAAACATGTGAATTTTATTAAATATTTTTTCAGGTTTTTTGCTGATATTTGTCTCAGCCCTTGCTACTACATCAATAAAGGATGTAGATGATACTCTTAGATGAGGAATCTGTCATTTAAGTAGTTTGTGATGGGTTTTTTCCCCTGATAGTTCTGATATTAATACATAAACTTAAACTTGTATAATGGGTGTTTTATGATTAAACTAGGCATAATGGCTTCCTGACCACTTAAACTTGTAGGGCTTTTGAAAGCCGATACACGAACTTTGGATTTTCCCATTTGAACACTCCAACTTGACAAAATGGATAATAATAAACACATTTGACCGTTGACCATGCCTATGTGGAAGCACTACAGCTGACATGGCTAAACTGTGTGCAAATCACACTCCCAAGACACGTGAATAGTATTGTTTTTACTTAAAAAAATTNGTAAAATTGGAGGAATTGGTTGGTACCCATATGAAATTGGAAGTGTAGGAGCATTCTCCTCATCGAGGCGAACATTTTGGTACCTTTCTTTTCCAATTTGCATACCTGGAACACCTTGCGCATTCATTTTTGCCTCGCCGGAGTTCTGCTGCTCGTCGGAGGTGACGATTCCCACGGTGGAATTGTCGAACTATGTTTCAGGCGTTTTTTTCCCTTTTTGTATTTGTTACTTTTTTTTTTCCTGATTTTGTATTTAAAAATGGGACCCACAAATAACACATGACAAGTAATAAATAGCTTAGCATGATGTGTTGTGCATGTCAGCGCAATTGATATACACGCTCTGGTGAATGTGTTTATTATTATCCATTTTGTCAAGTTGGAGTGTTCAAATGAGAAAATCCAAAGTTCGTGTATCGGCTTTCAAAAGCCCTACAAGTTTAAGTGGCCATTACGCCATTAAACTATTATATGTTTACACCAGCACTAGACCACCGGTAATCAAATACATTAAGCGTGAAATCATGGACAGCACCACACATAATCCCCAGGTTAAAATCCATCACAAAGTGATTTTAAAGCCATGAAAGTGGTGCGCTAAGTGACACCGTAAGCACTAACTAAACTTCACAGCCAACAGTCTCAAAACACCAAGAAATGGAACCCCTCTCATCCAAGAGTAAGCTTCATCAGAAGAGACATAAGGCATCATGGATGCAATGATTGATCTTTGTTTATCGGTGGCACATGATGAAGCCACTTTCTATCAAACCTTAAATTATTCGTAAGATTATTATTTAAAAAACAAATTGATACCTGCTTGTTACCCCTTGAACCCAGATGAGGTGATGCAACAGTGATAAAATTTATTGGTTCCAGGCCAGCTATTGTGCCCTTTGACCCTTCTTCACTGGCATCGGCTGAGAGCTTCTCCACATTCTCCATTCTTGGAGGTCTATATAATTTCCCAATTGCATATCTTGCCACTACTCCTCCAACAGAATGTGCAACAAAAGAAATTTTCTTCAAACCTGGCTTTCTTTTGATCACTTCAAGAACCTAACATCCATTTCCATATCATTACCGTCCGATGGGGTACATACAGCATGCTTTAAAGAAAATATTAGAAAAAGGAACAGGTCGGAACAAAAGCAAATCAAATCACATTATTAAAAAAACAACCTCCTCAGCCAACCGCTCGCCCATTACATCCACACCATCCAATGTTAGTTTAGCCATATTACGTTCACTGCCTGCCAAGAAAATCATGTTCATCATTCATCAAAACTGCAAAATAATGTTCATTAAGACTGTGCAAGACTTCCAAGTGCTCAGCCATTATGAAGAAGGTAAAACAGAGACATAGATATAATAGGTTCACATGAGCCACGAAAAGGAAATCTCTTTTTACTGAATAATTGTGCTAATTATTTAACACAAGTATTCTCAAATCAGAAAGGGACCAATGAAGTTGGGAACCACAATCAGAGCAGACTTGCACCTTTAGTTGGCAGTTTATCAATGAGAAAAAGCTTGACTTTTTGCTAGAAAATTCAAAGTTCACAGTCCCAATGGAAGAAAGGATGAGATAATTAAGGGAGTTGTAAACTAAAAGAAGTTTAAAGTTCAACATTCACATAAGAAATGAGTTTCACCACCTTATGAAAATGTATTTCTTTTCTATATAAGAAGTAAAAGGGCTTTTCCCTAGAGTAACGGAACCCAACTTTTCCTTCACCAGCTACTACATATTAAGGTCTCTTGATATAATATTAATATGCAAGACTCACTGGTATACTATCTTTACTTCAACTCGAATGAGAGCTTCTAGATGAGAAACATATATGAACAAACAATTCTTACAAGAAACAAAATGTAAAAATTAGACTTGAATAAGACATGTAGTCATTGACAACTTCAGATCACAACTATTAGGTTCTCTTTTTCTTTTTTCAGAGATTCAGATCATAACTAATAGTTAAGCTGAGCAACAATACTCCACTAATGTAGACGAACAAATGATTACCAAAAAGTGACACCAAGTAGACCAATATACATCATTAATTGTGACAAATCACAAAGCCAAGTGAATGTTATTAGATAAGAGCTCAAGAGAGCCAACTAAATTCACTTGGTCTCCTAAAACAACAATCTCATAGTCGAAAATTGCTGGAACAGCACATATTGGAATAAATTAGAAATTTAGTCCTTTAGTCTAATCCTTGTTATGTCATTCATAAATAATGCTGTGGAACGGGAAATTACATAGCATAAGAGGCGGAGTGTGGAAGGAAAAAAACAGATTAAGCGCCTCTCTAGAGAAAATGAAGATAAAGTAAGTGAAACCTACTTACCTTGTCTATCAACATAGCAAGCAAGAATAGAAGTATATTTTTTATTTACAGCTATAGCAACCTAATCCTAAGAGAGGAGGATTAGAGGGTGGAAAAAACGCAACATGCAGAACTAACTGCTGAAACACAAACAAGTATCAGTTAGAAATGCCACTCAATGTATGTACTTACAATGAACAAAAACTTTGTCAGGAAGATTCCGAACAAACTGCTCAGCACCAAATTTCCAGTCCGAGGCACTGTCGTAGTAGAAAAATAATAATTTTATAAGCAATATACAAACAAAAAAAAATCCAGCAATAAGTAGATTTTTTTTTTTAAAAACCAATACCATGAAAGCACTAATTTATTTGATAAGAATTTATCACTACTCCACAAAAAATTGTCCCATGATTTTAGTTTGACGTCAAACTGAATTGATAACCCCAGTCAGAATTGGCTAGTAATTAAGCAATTCAGAGTGTGTTTGGTATGACGGGAAATATACGAAGCGATTTTGTGGTGTTATCAAACGTGGTAAATATCTTCAATCTTTAACACTCAATAGTTTCAATGCAGAACACTATCCAAGTTGTTGACAATATGATTAATCTTTAAGAAATATTTTTCACTAACCGATCAAACACCGGAAAATATTTTCCAAGAAAATATTCCCGGCAATAACATTTTCCTTCATACCAAAGATCTTAATTGAACTCCGGACGGAAGAATCAAATCAGAGTAGATCAGAAGCAGCTTTCTTCTATGTGTTAGTAACATCAGATTTTTAATTCACATTTTCTCATCTCCAAGCAAGGGAAATTCTTGTGATCTGGCTAGAGCGCAACACTATATATGAAGGAGACAATATCCATAATATGAGTACAAAATAGGTCCAAAATCCCCCCAAAGAATGAAGCAATTGAAATAGCTCCAAATTCAGGAGCTTAAAATGCTAGTATACTAGATTAAAAAGAAGAAAAACTGTAGCTTTACGCGATGTCTTAAAGAAAAAATTACATGAATACTGCAAACTAAACAAGCAGTAACCTCTAAGACAACAAATGTTAAAAATTCATGAAATCATCATCGAACAGGAGCTAAGGCCTAAGAATAATTTCTCAAAAAGCTGAATTAAAATTCTCCAATTTTCTTCTAATTTCACTATAATTCGAGAATCAAAAGTGAAAAAAAGATGATACTAACGCACTATATATATATATATCCACAATTGTGCTAATTACCTTCCGAGAATACCATGGACCATCATAACAAGATGATCGGCGGAGGAAGCATCGGATTCTTTAGAACTAAATACATCTTCGCCGCCGTTGACGGTTTCCGACGAGGAAACTCCTGTGTTCTCTACTTCTCCGTTCTCCATTTCTTATTTTTACTTCTTTTGCTTTTTTATTTCTAATCTGAGTTTCTTGATTCGCAAACTTTATACACACATTTGATACAACAAATATATGAACCACACATTTGATACAACAAATACATGAACTAGTTACAGTTGGATTGATCTGAATTTGAAGTAAATAAAAAGTGTAGAAGTTAGGTCGGCCCTTTAAAAATCTCTCATGAGAGAGAGAGAAAGGTAATATAATGGCTGTGACGAAAGAGACTGAAGGATGAAGGAAGCTGACGACGTGGCCAGGATTCTTTTTTCTTGTATATATATTATCCAATTAAAGAATTTTCTATCTTAACTTTTTTTTTTCTAACTTGAGATATTCTTAATTGAGAATTCCATTTGTTCCGCCATAATTTTTATGCAAAGGAAAAATGGAATTTTTAAGTGGCTACCCGGAGCATAAAATATTTCATATTTAAGAGCTGTATTTTAAGGATATGATGTAAATATAAGTATTAGTAGTTATTTTTACGGCTCGAACCGGAGAACTACATGTCAAATGGAGTAATTTTCTCATTTTAAAGGAAAAAAAAAGAAATATTGAGTAAAAACAGGTAAATGTTGGTGCAGTTATGCTTTGAACAGTGGTACTGTTAATTAATCATGCCTATATTACGGTTTCATATATCTTGACGAATCAGATTGATCTCTGTTGATGTTGTGGGATCCACGCGGCCTTGAGTTTGGATTCTACTGAAACAGAAATGTTTCTTTTTTGTGGAAAAATAAACCTTTTTAAAGTAGAATTCAGTTACCAGCTTTCATAAATTTATAAATATCACTCATTACTGCACATTATTCAAAAGAATATTACAACACAAGTAAAAGGACAAAGTTGTTGGCAGTCAGGAGTTTCGTTTTCATGAAATAATCATAAATGGTTTCAATTATTATGAGCTTGGATCACATGATGGATTGAACTTGATCATCGTAACCTCTAACTTGACATGCATAGAATTAGGTTGTTCACGGTATAACGGAAAATCGATTCAAATTGAAAACCGAACCGATATTTTTTTTTGATTTGAATTGGTTTTGGTTTTAAATTTTTAAAAACCGATAATACTTGGTTTAGTTTTGGTTCTATTATAAAACCCCAAACCAAACCGTAAATTATATACAGAATTTAATAATTATTTATAGTAGTATCATATCTTTTTGTAAATAATTTAAATATATTATGCATTTCAATTATTATTATTTTGAAGTTTGGTTTATCCTACTTATATCTTAAAAGATTGCATAAGCCCAAAACAATAGGAATCGGCTAAAGCCTACACACATACTTTTGCCTAACAGTAAAGTTTAAAAAAAAAACCTACCACAAGAGTAAAGAAAACAAACTCAAATTGCAAGACTACAATGGCTAAAGCTTGAGAAAGTTTATAAGAACGTGTGAATCCAATTTTGTTACTATGAATACTTTATGATTGATTCAATAAAGTGATGTTAGACATTACGTTCTAAAATTAACTTTTTTTGTTACTCACTTGATTTTTGATTGATTCAACAAGTGATGTTAATCAATATTTATTCTTGACATCTGATAAAATGGATTCTAATTTTTTCAGATGAAAAGGACAGAGGTTGAAGATTTGAGGCTCACCTTAAAAATATTACTCCATCTACACTAACATCTGTGGCAACTCAAGCCCATGGTAACATTCCTAATACTTCTATTATGCGCAATACTCCTAAAAGGCAAAAAAGAACAATTTTGGGTGGTCGAAACCATAGCCCTGGGGAATGTCGGGAAAAATCTGAAATTTGGTCACACTTCACAAAGTTTATTGATAAAAAAGGTGATTTGAGGAAAAATGCAATTACTACCCTAAAGACTTTGCTTGTCCTAGTAGGAATGAGACTTTTAACCGTTGGGCACATTTAACCAGTAAGTGTGATAAACATTTCTAGGTAATTGGTAGGAAGCAACCAACGCTCAAACTTGTACCTATTAAAGGAGAGGAACAAAGAAGTTTAGAAAGGATTGCTTATAATGTTGCTGAGGTTAGGAGGGTAGTTGCCGAGTTTGTTATAATTGATGAATAACCATTTAAAGTTATTGCGGGGGAAGACTTTAAGAGATTAATTTCGGTTATTTTGCCTAATTATGAGTTGCCTTCTAGCATTATTGTTGCTAGGCAATGTTTTCAAGAGGAGAAACAAAAGCTTAAAAGATTTATTAGAGATCAATGTGTATGTCTTACTAGTGTACATGAACATCAATTCAAAATTTGACTTATATGGTCATTACTTCCCATTGGATTGATGATGAATGGAATTTCCAAAAAAAAAAAATCTTAACTTTTTTCAAACTCCATATCATAAGGGCGAGACAATTGCTAAGAGTATTGAGACTTGTTTGTTAGATTGGGGGATCGAAAAATCATTCACAGTGACGCTAGATAATGCGATAGCTAATGATGCTACAATCAAATACTTGAAAGGGAGAATTAATGATTGGAAAAGTGTTATCTTGGGAAATGACAATGCACATATCCTAAATTTAATTGTAAAGGAAAGATTAAGTGAGCAACATGAGTCTATTTTCTGGGTGAAGATGGATGTAAAATATGTGAAGTCTTATCCTATAAGATCTGCTTCTTTTAAGTCACATGCTGAGAAGGTCAAACTAGTCACTCATGGTCTTTTGTGTTTAGATGTTGAGACAAGGTGGAACTCTACATATTTGATGTTAGATACTGCAGTAAAATTTGAAAAAGTCTTTTCAAGAATGTATGTTGATGATCATAAGTACTTTAACTATTATTTAGAATTGAGTGGAACGACAGGGCATCTATCTTCAGAAGATTGGCAGAATGTGAAAGTCTTTCTCAAGTTTCTTAAAAAATTTAATCAAACCACTTCGAAATTTTTAGGAACTTCACATATTACCACTAATTCTTTCTTTCATGAGCTTTTTAATCTTCAAAGCTTAATTGTCCAATATTCTGATGGTGTTGTTCTATCTTGACTAATATGGCTAAGAAGATGAAACTTAAGTTTGATAAATATTAGGCTGATTTTGAGGATATGAATATGTTGTTATTTGTTGTTGTTGTGTTGGATCCTCGGTACAAAATAAAGTATGTGAAGTTCCTTTTTAGCAAATTTATAGTCCTTTGGAGGGTAATGTAAAGTCTATCAAAGTGATGAATACTTTATCTCGCTTGTATAATCACTATAAGGATTCTATATCTGGGAATTCTAATAAAAATATTGGAGATCAAACTAGTGTGAGTCAAATTGATACAATGCATAGTTGTGATGGGTGGCAATCACAATGGAAGAAATTTCTTGAAGATGAGAATAATATTGGTAATACGACTGAGCTTGAGAAGTATTTGATGGATGATATGGAGAGGAATAAGGATTTAAATGTCTTAGCTTGGTGGAAAGCTTCATCTGAAAGATATCCAATTGCTTCTAGGATTGCAAGAGATGTGTGTGTTGTTCCTCCTGTATTTGTAAAAATGATTATGGAAATTAAAACGTTAGCTTATTAACGTAAATATAAATGATATAAATGACACACAAATTAATTCGAGCCCACTGAATTCACAGTGGTTCCTTAAGGAATTTAATCCCCTCCTAGTACCCAAGGTTATGGATTATTTCCTCCCAGGATAGAACGAATTACACACTGGTGTAGCGGTACTTTAAACCCCAATGTTTCAGCGAACACAAAGTTCGGCAGCAAATCACACTTACTGTTGCTTTCTTAGTAGTTTAAAACAATGCAGAACAAGGGAGGA